CGCTCTTTTGGAAATTATGGAGGCTTGTATGCGGGACATTCCCAAATGCGATTGGTTAAAAACGTGGACCTTGTTGGCGAAAAACTTTGCCTTCTGCTTCAATCCAGCTTTGCAGCCGAGGGCGCTCATCGTTTTCGGCTGTATCAGCAAGAGTATAACGGATCAGGATATGTGGCAGCTATTGAAGATACTAGTGAAGGCGCTCGAGAGTTTTAATGATATCAATCTTATGGAGGCCATCGTTATGTGCTTGACGCGATTGCAACCTCTTCTGAAACCCGTAAGTTTCTCTTTAAGAAAAAAAAAAAAAAACTTATAAAAATCGTTCAACTTGAAGTATTCAGTACCAAGCCATTTTTCTGTCCAAGAAATCGCCAATACATAGGTACTTGTTCTGGATCGCTACGTCCGTTCTCGAGTTGGACGAAGCATCGTTATATGCATCCGGCCTGGCTCTTCTCGAACAGAATCTACACACGCTCGACTCACAGGGCACTTTCGATGAGAAGGTCTCTATGCATTTTTCGATTTTTTTCTCAATCTTGATAAATTTTGAAATATTTTTTGATAAAATATAATGATTGTTTCTATCTTTTTTTAGACATTGGAACACGTGATGATGTCGACACGCGAACCTCTGGAATGCCAGTTCAAGCAATTGGATCACACCGTGGGCCTATCCTTTAAATCTAATTTTCATTTCGCGCTGGTCGGTCATCTTCTGAAGGGCTACAGGCATCCCACACCGACCACGGTTACCAGAACGGTCAGAGTGTTGACTATGTTGCTGGCGATCGTGGCGAAACCCTCGAAAAGGGATAAATTCGAGGTGACGCCTGAAAGCGTTCCTTACTTGACCGGTACGTTTAAGTAAAAACGCACATAGTACAAGATTAAGAAAAAAATTTTACGCGAATTTCATTTTATAGCATTGGTAGCTGTATCGGAGGAGGTGCGTAGTAGATGTCATATTCGACATTCGCTCGATAAAAATCTACACGATTCATCAGGCAGTTCGGATATTCTCGATACCTTACCATCGCGCAGTGCGGTGAGAATATTTTTTGAGTATCTTCCGCTATGATTATGACATGACATTGTTTTAATGAGTCCATTCGCGTATTTATTAGGATATGTCCGGAGCGCCCAATCCTACAAGTAGAAGACAAAAGACTTGGGACTTGCTGGATCAATCGGCGCTTACTCAAGCGAGACAACAGAAACAACAATCCGCGCAGGTATAAATTACATTTAATCATATATGTATTACTTTCCCGCGGACCAACTCGTTCTTTTTCGAGCTATAAGCATAGCGACGCATAATCAACTTGTTCGATTGAAACATTGTAGGGATTTGCCACATTAAAAAAAAATTGCTTTTATTTTTCCTTTTTTTATGTAGAACATATCGCGAGACGTAGTGCCATTCTCGCTCGTATACACAATTATTCACTTAGCAAATGGAAAAAAGATTATCGAAGCATCGTACGAAGCATGAGGTTGCTGAAAAAATGCACTGCATGATCCTAATTAAAAGAATCTCGATGAGATGGCACGAAATGAAATTCAAAATCTTTCCACGCGTGATTTGTAAATCGAATGTGCAACGAATCGTATCGCTTCTGTTACCTCGCTCTGCTTATCTTATTATACTTAATTGTTTGGTAAAATTATTTCACTTTTGTTGAGAAATATCACTCTATTCATTCTATTACTTAAAATCTTGTGCGTGTGCGTGCGTGCGTGTGTGTGCGTGCGTGCGTGCGTGTGCGTGTATGTGTATGCATTATTTCTACAACTATAGTCAAACGTATCTATGTATCTGTCTCAAATTATATATCCTATAACTCTCTTTTGGGTATGTATTTGATATGATTTACTACGCTCTATGTAGAAGTATATTCACATTTGAGTTTTATCTCTAAAAAAAAAAAATTTTTTTTTTTGCACATGAGGAAGAGAGACGTCCTTTCGCAAGCTTTTTTGAATTGAACAAAAAATGATTTCCCGCGATCGTTTTATCTTATTGTTTGCCATATATATTTTTCAATCTGATCTCCCTTTAATTAACTACTAGTAGATGCATAGCGTTGTATAAAACATCATTTTATTCCTCCATGCATCTCTCTGTTTACTCTCTCGGTGTGTGCCCGCCTGTGCCTGCCCGGATTGTATAAAAAACCATGCAACTTGTGTCACTAACAAGACTGGCCGGCTTTTATTTAAATCGCAGCGATCCTTGAGCGTACCGAACGCAAAGGACGACAAGCCGACGGACGATGCGGAACAGCAGGTATATATCGTTACTTGGACCACGATTCTCTTGTATCTCTCTTTCTCTCTTTTTTTTTTTTTGTCGATTCTATATATATCCAGACGCGGTTACTGCTCTCCTCTCCTTAACCATTCGTGTTGAGAGACAAATGAAAATATTCCGCGACTGTGATATATTATACTTGAGTTTATTCCCTTTATACATTATATAATCGAGATTTAATAAAGAAACTAATGTATTTGTACTTGTGTACTGCTATACAGAAAGATCGTAGCACTAGAGTGAGCCTGAGCAACGAAAATAACGTCTTACTCGATCCGGAAGTGTTGACCGATTTTTCGACGCAGACTCTGGTTTTGACCATGTTGGCCACTCTAGTAAAACACTCCACTAACGAGAATGAAACGCGTATCCTGTACGAGTATCTGGCGGAAGCCACTATGGTTTTCCCAAAAGTCTTTCCAGTTGTGTAAGTTTACTTTTATTCCTTTAGTAATAATGATACACAAAAAATTTAGTTGGATATATCGAGAGGAGATACCCGAGACTATCCTATTTCCGAATTTTTGTATCGAATGTTGCAGACACAACTTGCTCGACGCAAAGATCAACAGCGTATTGTCCTCTTGTCATGACCAAGCGATATTGAACGCGGTTCAAACTATCATACAGAACATGATAGCCAGCGAAGATACGAGCCAGCAACATCACCTGCAACATTATTTGCAAAGCTGCGGTTTCCGCGGTCTTTGGAGGTTCGCGGGACCTTACACGAACGTAAGTCTCGGAATCGAATTTCTTAATTTCGCGATTTCATAGCGATTTATCTTATTATATATCTTGATAATGATCATGTATAGAGTCAGTATTTTAAGCAATTAACAATATATTTCCAGTCCAGCTGTACGCCCGAGAGTGCCGAATTGTTTGTGAATTGTCTAGAGGCGATGGTAGAAATGTGTCTGGCGGCGCAAGAACCAAATAAAGAGACAGCTATAGGCAAAGGTAAACGCCAATCGGACTCTGCGTTGAAGCCAAGGCCGTCTACCGCCGGACTTATCCAAGAACATTATCGTACGTCATCAGAGATCGACGCTTCCTCCGTTCACGTAGAGTAAGTCTTGCGTTTTATTATCGTAACGTTTGCGATTTCATCTTTTGTGTAAACTGCATTGCATGTATAAAATACGGATATATATTGAACAAACGGTATATTTCAGTCATAGTACAGATGGCAGACGAGATGACTCGATGGATGCTGGTCAAACGGAGGATACGGGTGACGGTTCGCAGCCTTAGCAATTACTTTGCGATACTGGTAGACAATGCCAGAAAGGTGCGCGTAAGAGGCAAAGTAATCGAAAATTGCAACGGCAAACGAGGTACGTGAATTTTAAATAATTAAATGACAAATATACATATAGTTGGAGGAATGTACACATAAGAGATGTACGCTTAAGAGATTCGATCAAAAGAAGAGATTACTGTTTTTTTTCTTTTCATTAAATATCAACAAATTCAAATTATTGCGAAATGAACCTTAATTGTTAAATATTTTGCTCGTAGAACCTCGCAGACTTTCGTCCCGTGTTATTGCTGCAACATGTCCAGTCAGTTTAGTACAATGCCGTCCACATCGCGATAACGAGCCTACCGGAAATGGAAATCAACGAAAGCTACACTCTCGTAGAACGTTGTTTTATTTCTTTATCAGCTTCCTATGTGTATCGATAACTTTGCATTATTTTCTTAATCTATCTGTCAGTTGCGCGAGTTTGCTATTTTTGGCAATCTTGCTACGAGATTTAAATATGCATTATTGCATTATATGTTATCAACGCTTTTACACAACGAAATTGTACGGAAACTCGCGTTGCGAGATATACATCGTAAGATTCGATTTCAGCGATTCAAGATACGTAGCGTTTGACGTTTCGTCGTGATTAAGCAATCGTATTCATCGTCACATATTATTTCTTCATACCGCAAGAAATAATTTACAGTCGGTTTCCTCGGAAAAGATTCATCGAATCAGCAACGAGCATTGTATACGTTCGATATTTTCTCGCAATTACGCGCATAATAATAATTTAGCGACTGATATTAATTCTCTGCCATACAAGTCGCAATATAATGCATATACAAAACTATCGAAATTGGTTCATAGAAAACCATGAGAAATCGATAAAATTTTATGATAAGAGCG